ATCTATTTATTATGAGTTTTTTTTAATAAAAGTAAATCTAATTAGACAATAATTATTAAAATAAAAAATATTTATTAATTGAAAATTACCTAATAAAATCATGCAAAGTGTTTCTGTATTTCAGTATCTATTTATTTGTATAAAAAAATATTTATTAATAGATATAAAAATAATTTTTGTAAAAATAGTTTCTTTAATACTCTAAAAATTACCTAATAAAATTAATCACATAAAAAAAAAATTTATTAATTGATATAAAATGAGTTTTTATCTGTACCATAATTAGATGTGCAAAGATTTTCAGTGTTTAAGTATTTATTTATTTATATAAAAAAATTATTTAAAACACTAAAATCTACATAATAAAATTTAAATTAACCTATTTATCTATTTATTATTATCAATTTTTTTATAAAAGAAAATCTAATTAGACAAGAATAACTAATATAAAAAAATATTTATTAATTGATATATAAAACAAAATAATTTTTATAAAACTCAACCACAAATTAGCTTTTATTGTGAGTTTCTTAATAAAATTAAATCTAATTAGACAAGGATATAGTTAAAGAAATAAAATAATTTCTATAAAACTCTATTACAAATTACCTATTTTATTTTCTATAAGACTCTATCACACTAGACAAAAATATATTTAAAGAGTTTATATCAAAGTGTAACACAAATTACTTATTTATCTATTTATTATGAGTTTTTTAATAAAAGGAAATCTAATTAGACAAATATTATTAATATAAATTTTTTTTATTAATTGATATAAAATGAGGTTTTAAAAGAGTTTCTATAAAACTGTAACACAAATTACTTATTTATCTATTTATTATGAGTTTTTTTTTAATAAAAGTAAATCTAATTAGACAAGAATTATTAAAATAAAAATATTTTTTAATTAAAAATTACCTAATTAAATAATGCAACGTGTTTCAGTATTTCAGTCTTTATTTATTTATATAAAAAAATATTTATTAATTGATATAAAAATAGTTTTTGTAAAAATAGTTTCTATAAAATTCTAAAAATTACCTAATAAAATCAATCACATTCTATATGAAACTTTTATTTTTAGTTGAATATAAAAAAATAGTTATTTTTTATAGATAATTATCACAATATAACCGGTCCGGCCCAGTTATGATTATGTAATTATCAGAAAAGGACACATGTCTTCATCCTACTAATCCTAAAAGCCTATAAATAGAGGCATTGAGGAAGGAGGAAGGGGTATAAAAATTAAAAATTCTAGAATTCCAAAATTGTAGAGTAAAATACATAAACTCTGCTAAAGAATTTCAGTATTTATATAAAAAATATTTATTAATTGATATAAAAAGAGTTTTTATCTATACTATTATTATATGTGTAAAGAGTTTCAGTATTTAAGTATTTATATAAAAAAATATTTAAAAAACTAAATCTAAATAATAATATTTAAACTAACCTATTTATCTATTTATTATTATGAATTGTTTAATAAAAGAAAATCTAATTAGACAATAATTATTAATATAAAAAAATATTTATTAATTGATATATAAAACAAAATAATTTTTCTAAAACTCTACCACAAATTAGCTTTTATTATGAGTTTCTTAATAAAATTAAATCTAATTAGACAAGGATATATTTGAAGAAAATAAAATAATTTCTATAAAAATTTATCACAAATTACCTATTTTATTTTTAATAAAACTCTATCACACTAGATAAATATATATTTAAAGAGTTTCTATAAAACTCTAACACAAATTATCTATTTATCTATTTATTATGAGTTTTTTAATAAAAAGAAATATAATTAGATAAGTATTATTAATATTAAAAATTATTTATTAATTAATATAAAAAGAGGTTTTAAAATAGTTTGTATAAAACTCTAACACAAATTACATATTTATCTATTTATTATGGGTTTTTTTTTTTAATAAAAGTAAAGTTAATTAGACAAGAATTATTAAAATAAAAAATATTTATTAATTGTAAAATTACCTAATAATATCAATCACATTCTATATAAAACTCTTATTTTTAGTTCAATATAAAAAGAATAGTTATTTTTTATGGATAATTATCACAATATAACCGGTCCGCCTGTTATGATTATGTTATTAGCAGAAAATGTCATAATCCTATTAATCCAAAAAGCCTATAAATAGAGGCATGGAGTAAGGGGTACAAAAATTGAGAATTCTAGAAATCCAGAATTACAGAGTAAAATACAGAAGCTCTGCCAAAGAGTTTTAATATTTGAAAAAAAAAGTTTGTATCTATACTATTATTAGATGTGCAAAGAGTTTCAGTATTTATTTATTTATATAAAAAAAAATATAAACACTAAAATCTACATAATAAAGAGTTTCTATAAAACTCTAACACAAATTACCTATTTATCTATTTATTGTGAGTTTTTTTAATAAAAGAATCTAAATAGACAAGTATTACTAATATAAAAAATTATTTATTAATTGATATAAAAAGAGGTTGAAAAGAGTTTCTATAAAAAACTCTAACACAAATTACCAATTTATCTATTTATTATGAATTTTTTTAATAAAATTAAATCTAACTAGACAAGAATTATTTAAAATAAAAATATTTATTAATTGATATAAAAAGAATTTTTAAAATAGTTTATATTAAACTCTAACACAAATTACCTATTTATTTATTTATTATAATTTTTTTAATAAAAGAAATTTTAATTAGACAAGAATTATTAATATAAAAATTATTTTTTAATTGATATAAAAAATAAAATAATTTTTCTAAAACTCTATCACAAACTACTTTTTATTATGAGTTTTTTTTTTTTTTTTTTTTTAATAAAAGCTAATCTAATTTGACAAGAATTATTAAAATTTAAAATATTTATTAATTGGTATAAAAAGAGTTTTTAAAAGAGTTTCTATTAAACTCTAATACAAATTACTTATTTATTTATTTATTATAAGTTTTTTAATAAAAGAAAATCTAATCAAACTAGAAAAATTTTAGCATAAATTACCTATTTTATTTTCAATAAAATTATAATACATTAGACAAAGATATATTTTAAGATTTTATTTAAAAACTCTAATACAAATTACCTATTTATCAATTTATTTTGAGTTTTTTAATGAAAGGAAATCTAATTAGACAAGAAATCTAATTAGACAAGTATTGTTAATATAAAAAATTATTTATTAATTGTTATAAAAACAGGTTTTAAAAGAGTTTCTATAAAATTTTAACACAAATTATCTATATATTTATTTATTGAAATCTAATTAGACAAGAATTATTAATATAAATTTTTTTTATTAATTAATATAAAAAGAGTTTTTATAAAATTCTAACACATATTACCTATTTATCTATTTATTATGAGTTTTTTTAATAAAAGAAAATATAATTAAATAATAATATATTTAAAGAAAATAAAATAATTTTTATAAAATCTACCACAAATTGGCTACTTTATTTTCTATAAAACTCTATCACATTATCTACAAAACATTCAACACGTGCATCGCACATGCCTTTTTCTAGTGTATATATATATGTGTGTGTGTGTAAAGTAGGGCGCATCATAAATGAGGTTTCTAAAATAAATGTTGATAAAATCATACTATATCCCAACCTTGGCAGGGCGAAGCCAGTGTATACCTAGGGACGCAAGAAGGTAAAATAAAAAGAAATGACTTGCCCCTGGCCTGGCCCCGCGCACTATACATATAGAATTTTTTTAATATTTTATATGTGTATATATGGAATTTTTATATAATTTTTAATATTATATAATTTTTTAAATAATTTTTATAAAATTATTAGTTTTTAAAATTATCTCTTATTTTCTAACTTTTTTTTTCCTAATTTACTCTTCAAATTCCTTAAAAAAAGTTAAATTTTCCTTTTAAATTAAATTTTAATTGTTTCCTTTTTAAGTTGTCATTTTTTTGATTTTTTTCCTTTTTTTCCCTTTTTTTTTTCGTCCTTTTACTCCTTTAAATATAAATATTTTTTTTAACATTATGTCCCCCTAAACTAAATCTTAGCTCCGCCCCTACACATTGGGACACATTTCCCGAAGTGTACAACTATTTTGAGACGCAGTATCTAATATCAATTATGTTAGAAGAAAGATTAAATAAATTGGTCATATAATTTGACATCTCAAAAAGTAAGAAGAATGATTTTTAAATAAACATTATTAATTATTATTTGATATTAATATATTATATATTAAAAAATCACTTTTATATTTTTTTTGCTTAATGATAAACCAAAAGATATGGTTACATAATTCCAATAATCATGTTATAGTTGTAACTATATCTTTTGGTTTATCACCTAGGACTTCAAATTATATTGAGTCGCTCATAACAATAAAGTTGTTTTTTAGTCATTTATCTCAAGTAATTTTGATTTCAAAAAAATCTGAAACTCTCTTTTTCCCTTGCTTAAATTGAAATTAAAATGAACAATGTTTTACAAGCTAATTTTTTATATTAATTTTGTACTTCAAGTGGTATATGTTGACCAGTTGGTTTAATGTCAACTCAAATCTAAGTTAAATTTTATACACAACATCCTTGTTTGACCCATGCAAAAATTTATAAATAAAATCATTTGCATGATATATTTTAATATTTTTTTCTATTGTTATATTTGACTTTCTAAAATCATTCATCGTATTCATAGAATGTCAAATTTTTTTGTTTTTTCCTCTTAAAATACTCCCATAATCTATTATGGGCACATGTAGGAGAATTTACCATAAAATTGATGGAATGTGAAATATGCAAAACAAGGAGGGTGCCACTGCAAACTTGAAAACCAAGTCCGAGTTGCAATTGAGTACAACCGACCCCATCAAAATCAAAGCACTCCTGACCGTCCAATTCTATAATCAAATTACAAAAAATCTCAAATTACTGTTTTGTCCTTTCAGATCCTCACTTGAGCAACATAATAACGTATCACAGTGCAACGCCTAACAGTTCTCTCGCTCCCTCTCCATCTCTCATTAATATTAAAAAGAGAAAAACAAATATTATTTTATCGCTTAATCTCCACTCTTGTCCTCTGCTTCTTCTCTCGCCGGAAAACCAACACTTGCCGGCGAAAGAGCTCGAATCACCGGAACCCTAGCTTCTCCGCCCACTTCTCTCACCCATACCCTACGACCCAATCACTTTCTCTCTCTACATGGCCTCAATTCCATCCGTTTTCTACACTCCATCAATCAAACCACACCACAACACTTCTATACCAAAATTTGTATTCATCAATCCCACTACAAATTCAAATTCAAGTTCAAATTCGAACTTCAACTCCAATTTTCTCTCTATCATCCTCAACAGAAAGCCTCGTTTTCTCCCCAAGCTCTCGAGGTCCTCCAATGGCGGCTCGTTATCGGCATTCGCGTGCACCACTTCGTCTCCGTTCATCGGAAAAATCGGATTTCAGAGAAGAGAAGGTAACTCGACGTTGCTGTCCTTTGGTACAAACCCTAATACTGTATCGGAAGTAGCAGCGAGACCCGATTCGTCGCAAATTCTTTCGGCAATGCTTCCCTTCGTCGTCGCTCTCACTGCCGTTGCTGCTCTTTCGCAGCCTACGACATTCACTTGGTGAGAACTGAGAACTTCATTGAGTTGCTTGCATAGTATTTGAATATTTGCTTCGGTTAAAGTTTGAATTAGTCAATTTTCATAGGAAAAAGGAGATTTTTTCTTTAAGGTCATGTTATTTTTTTTAAGTATATAATCTTTTTTACCAACCTTAAATCTCTGTTGTCAATAAAAAATTAAAGAAATGTCATTACTATAATACTTGTAATTATTGTTCTCAGTTATTTTTTTAGTAGTCTTGTTTTGTTTTCCAAGGTTTACAAATCATAACAAATTGGAATATTTTTGGGTCATAAAATTTGTATTGTTATTGGTGTTAATATTGGTTATGTAAGAGATTCTGGGTGTTTTGATGATTTTGTTTGGGATAAAATTTATTGTTTCCCTACTTAATTACTTAAGAATTTCTAGTTTATGTAACTAAAAGGGGAATTTGCAGGGTATCAAAAGAAATGTATGCCCCTGCTCTTGGAGGGATCATGCTATCAATTGGAATTAAGCTCTCTATTGATGATTTTGCTCTGGCGTTTAAAAGGTCTCATCCTTTCCTAGCTTTGGATATTTGAGGTTATTGCTGTTGATAATGTAATATTATTTGGGTTTTATTCTGAATTTAATTTGAAGTCCTTCAACTTGTGTCTGTTGTAGGCCTTTGCCACTATCTCTTGGGTTTATCGCCCAGTACATGCTGAAACCGGTACTTGGGGTGTTGGTGGCACGGGCATTTGGTATGTCTCCGATGTTCTATGCTGGCTTCGTTCTCATGTCTTGTGTTGCAGGGGCTCAGCTATCAAGCTATGCCAGCTTCTTGAGCAAAGGGGATGTGGCCTTGAGCATCCTCTTGACGAGCTCAACCACCATTGCATCGGTTCTTGTTACTCCTCTTTTAACAGGCCTTCTTATTGGGTCTGTCGTTCCAGTTGATGCAGTTGCTATGTCCAAGTCAATTTTGCAGGTATAGGAACCCTTAGTAAGATATACGCCTTAAATTAGATCCAAATATTCTTGTTTCCCAATTGGTTTTGATCCATATATTTTCTCCCTTGTCAGGTTGTTCTTGTTCCAGTCACTCTTGGCCTTGTGCTCAATACTTATGCAAAACCTGTTGTGAATGTTCTTCAACCTGTGATGCCGTTTGTCGCGATGGTTTGTACCTCACTATGCATAGGCAGCCCTCTTGCAATTAATCGCAGTCAAATTCTTTCTGTGGAAGGTCTGCGATTGGTTTCTCCCGTGTTGACATTTCATGCAGTGGCATTTACCTTGGGATACTGGATCTCCAAACTTCCAATTTTGGGGTAATCTCCTCTCTTTGCTTGTCATGTTCAATTGTAGGATTGAATCAATGGATCTATTTCCCGCAGTTAAAAGGATATTGGCCTCTTTATATCTATTTTCCCCAGAGTATTTATCCGTTACCATTTCTAGTGTGTCAATAATGTAGCCAGACCATGTGGTATGTCCTAGTGGCTAAATTACAGTCGGTATATTTATTAATGTTAGATGCTTGTAATAAGATAGGATTTATTAATGTTCTATTGCTTAAATTTGTGCCATGTGGTAACTGATGTGTTCCGTAAGCCATGTTCTAGTTGGAACTCATGTGACTCCATGTTGTCCTCTTGATCCAAACTTTCCTTTCGAAGGTCATCCAAATAAGTGATAACATGGGAGATGGACATGTTTTGTATATTATATAATTTGACCTCTTTCTCTCCACATCTCTACTGCTACTGATGACCCTTTACACTTGTATCTTGTTCCTGGACCTATTTATTCAGATGTCATGCTTTTAAGGTTTTATTTATCTGCCCAAAATTTCAGGAGAAACAGATTTATACATAATAATCTCACCTACCAACTAACCTACAGATGCATTACTGATCCTGCATTTGGTTTCAGTTATGTGACTTCAACGCCTTGATTACGGTTTTTTTACATTCCCATCCTGCATTTGATTTCAGTTATGTGACTGCAACGCCTTGATTATGGTTTTTTTACATTCCCATATGGTAGGAGCAATTAACTGAGTAATTTAAACGTGCGAGAGGTTTAGAGATTGTAGTTAACATTCCTCTAATAATTTGGTATTGTGGCAGGCTAGAAGAAGAAGTTTGCAGGACAATTTCTTTATGCACAGGAATGCAAAGTTCAACTCTGGCAGGGCTTCTTGCGACACAATTCCTTGGGAGCAGTCAAGCGGTTACCCCAGCCTGCTCAGTAGTTGCCATGGCCATCATGGGCCTTTGTCTGGCGTCTTTCTGGGGCAGTGGTGCTCGAATCAGAGACCTACCATCTCTTCTCATCCCACAAACCGGTTCTACTGTGAAGGCTTCATAAAGCAACATTTGGGGGTAAATCTTGGAGGACACTGACCAAACCAATTCAATACATAACAGAGTAATAGAACGAGCAATCAACGCATACAGACACGATGTTCGGTCTGCAGATTACAAACAATGGGAAAGATGGCGATCATGCATCTATCTTGAGCAGGTCCGGTAATGAGTCGTACACGCAGAGGGTGAGGAAGAGCCAAGGACGTAAAGCGGGAAAAGATGGTTGTATGGTTACAATTTACAAATACTTACAATAGTTCATTTGTATCATCTGCAACTAATAGTTGTTTATGTATCAAGAGTTCTTTTGTATATTCTGCAACTATACCTGTCTATATAATATATAGCACTTTTGAGGTATATATGCATTCAGAAAACAATGTGGATCTCTCCCTCCAGTTTTTTTCCTTCTAAGCAGGGGTGTGTAAAAACTTGCGAAGCAGATACGAAATGATCCATATTTTGTCACACTGGTGAGCAAGAAATTTCGAAAATGACCTATTGCACAATGACGAGCAAGAAATTTACGGAATAATTTTTATTTTACGCTTAAATTTACTGGTGTGCAAGAGATCATTTTTAAATGCTGGGCTGCTTAAATTTACTGGTGTGCAAGAGATCATTTCTAAATGCTGGGCTGCTATTGTATAATGCACAAAATATCCTACTAGTGATCACACTATCATGTAAGAGTCATTTTCAATTGGAGAATCTAGTGTCTGATTTTTAATTTAAACGTGTGGACCATCAATTATTGTTTATGCGGATAAGAACAGTATGGGCTTATGTGAAAGTAAAGGTGCGGTTCAAGTTCAAACCACCCGACTTTCAACCCACCTAACCTTCTCGAACCCGGGTCGAGTTTAATTATAAAAGTCAGACTGAAACTAGGGTTGATCTTGTGTTAGTCTTGGGCTGATTAAGTCTACCTTAAAAGATTATAATTTTTTTTGAATATATTTATATAAAATATTATCAAGTATTTATTTATTTATTTTATGAAATTGACTTTTTAAAGTATCAATATACATAAATAAAGATTTTAAGAAAAAATAAACTAAAAAAGGACGATGACAAATATATATACACGCATTATAAATATATTAAAAGATTATGTTAGAATTCGGTTTTGATTTTTGAGTTGGGCTCGAGCTGTCAACATTTCAATCAGAGCCCAATCCAATTTTAAGAAAAAAATATATTATACGCATTATAAATATATTAAAAATATATTACACGCATTAAAAATATATTAATTATTATTATTATTATTATTATTTTATCGCCATAAGAACCCAATTTTAAGCCCAGTTTGCTTCCACTTTCAAACCCCAGTTTTCAACAGCATTGTGGCCCATGTATTGTGGTGGAAGCACATTGGTCCACCTAAGTCCTTAGTTGAAGACTTGGGCCCAAATAACACAGTTATTTAGGCATGCTTGTTTGAATGTAAAATATTTTTTATAAAAATGTTTTTTTTTTTTAAATTTATTTTGTGGTATTTGGTTGTCGTAAAATATTTACAAAAAAAAATTATTAAAACTTAACAAAAATAACATATACACTAATTTTCGATAAGTTACTTTATACGCCTCGCTCGATGGATTCAATCTCAGCCTTGACCTTATAAATCTTTACCAAACACTGAAAAAATAATATATGTAAAAAGAAAAATCTTTTCTGAGGAGAATATTTTATATCGAAACAAACAGAATCTTAAGGAATTAAATTTTTGCTTTTGCGCTCTCGCTTTTGCTCTCTATGACTTAGGTGCTGTTTGATAAAACTGAAAATTAAGTACTGAAAATTTCAAATACTGAATTTTAAGCGCTGGTTTTTTAAATGTTAATGTATTAATTTGAAAATTTGTTTGATAATGTTATAATTTTAAACATGGAATTCATAAAAACTCTTTGTTAAATACAAAATTTGAAGTCTGAAAATTATACAGATTACATTTTTACCCTTAATATCTGGTATCATAACAGTTTTATATTTATAATATAAAAGTATTAATAAAATAACCACATTCACTCAATGTATATCAATTTAACAATGAATGTTAATGTCAAATCTAATCATAAAAGAATGTCAATTCAAACTTAAATAATTAAAATTATTCAAGCAGTATTCATTAATATAATTATAAATATGAATATCTCAAAACTATTAAATTGAACTAAACATATAAAATTTTAAGTTCGAGAACTAAACAAATCATTTTCAAAGGTAACAGCAATAAATAAAATTTAAAATATATGGGCTCCATATTACATAATATTTATGCAAATCCATTGTGTATAAAAAATGTGTTACAAAGATTAAGATTGTACGTAAAAAAATAATTTAATTATAGAAATAATTGTGTTCTATAGTGAATCAATTTGAATGGATATAACCAAAATGCTTTATCTGTCGTCATAGTACGTAGAAATAAAATATATATATATAAAACTCTTATATATGTGAATTATAGGAAAGAATAGATTCCTAAGAAAACAGCATACATATTCTATCCTATAATTCATATATGTATGCTGTTTTCTTAGGAATCTATTCTATCCTATAATTCATATATGTATGCTGTTTTCTTAGGAATTTATTCTATCCTATAAATCACATATATAAGAGTTTTCCAAAAAGAGAGAACTTACCTATAATGCTCTGTTTCCAGACGACGAGAGAAAATATAGAGAGAAGTCCTAAATAAATTAAATATATAAGGGTAAAGTAGTTAATAAAAATATGCATAGGCAGCATTCCCTTCACTTAAAAATTTGGTCTCTTTTAAGTAATATTTACCATTTTAACCGATATCTTAAAATTTTATCAAATATACTTATATTAAAAAATCACTTACCGTATTTTGAATTCAGCATTGAACTAAGAAATCAAACTGGCCCTTAGCATGTTAAAGCCACGTTTATGCATATAGAGTAAAGGTCACTTAATAGCAAATGCCCGAAGGAAGGGAAAAAAAAAAATGTTCACTTAAAAAACGTCAATATGCTGAGACAAGAGCTTGTTTGTGTCTCTATACACACGTCTAAGTAATTTGGCACACAAATTACCAACTTAATTTTGATGGTTTGTTCAATGACAGACCCAGAAAATTTTATGAGTGAGGGCGATCTTTTAATTTGTGAGAGCAAATTTATATGGTGGGTCTATTTTTGTAATTTCAATGGGGTTGTCTTCATAAATTTTCAAAATTTAAGTATAAAATGCCAAAAAAAAAAAAAAAAGAAGAAAAAAAAAGGAAAAAGTGGGGTGAATTGTAATTTTAGTGGGGGCATCTTCATAAATTCTTAAACATTTGAAGTATAAAATGTAGAAAAAAAAAAAAAAAAAAAGAATTCAGTAGGGGCGAATTGTAATTTTGGTGGGGGAATCTTCATAAATTCTAAAACAATTTAAGAATAAAATGCCAAAAAAAAAAAAAAAAAATAGTGAGGTGAATTGTAATTTTAGTAGGGGCATCTTCATAAATTCTTAAACATTTGAAGTATAAAATGTAGAAAAAAAAGAATTCGGTGGGGGCGAATTACAATTCTAGTGGGGGAATTTTCATAAATTCTAAAAAAATTGAAGTATAAAATAAAAATATAAAAAATCTAGTGGGAGCCCCCCACTGGTCCTATGTTAGGTCCGTGTCTGGGCTTCTTCATCTTCTCCTATGCCTAGATGGAAATATGACTTGCTCTTGAGTTTTTGCAGTCGAGATGGTAGACGCTAACTAAAAAATTATATAGTGCCAATTATAATTTGGGCCACGATGAGCTAATGGGTTAAACTAAATTACTCAATAAATTCAAATCCACTTCTAAAATTGGTCACAAGATAATTATGTATAATTGTCATCAAGAATAATTAGGATAATTATCAGAGGTGAAACAAGGTACAATATAAGTCGCACAATCCCTAATATTCTTGCCCTTCAAACAAAAAAAAAATAGTCACATAATCCTTCTAAAGGGGTGCCGTTCTCAGGCTTCGTGCGCAAATTGGCGCTCTGAAACTAAATTCTTCCATAATTTTCAAATTTAATTTTATCAATTCACAAATTCAATTTTTAAGTCGTCGAATTCACAAGTTCTCATTTATTGAATTATGGACAACTACGTGTGACATTTACCAAAATGCACGTAATACTAATAAAACAAAAACATTTAGAAATATGCAGAACTAAGAAAAAACTTAGTTACAATATGAAAAAAGAATAACAAATCCTTGGCATATTGTTGTTTACTTTATATTGATAACTTTGGTGACGTTATTTAAGTCTACAAATACTAAATGTGTGTGTACAGTGTATAGACATATATAAACGCAAACAAATTATACAAATACTTTTTTAATTTAATTTAATATTTTGTAAGACGATTATTTTATAGCAGTAATTCCTCAAAGTATTCATTTCATGCATGAAAATTTAGATAATATTTATTTAAGAATTTAGAATAAATATATAGATTTTTGAGGTTACAACTCTTTAGAAATAAAAAAAATATGCTATAATTTTTGTATTTTAATTATTACTAATGTTGTGTATTTTTTAACATAGAAGAAATAAAGTTGAAACACATTTTCTACTTGTTATGAAATCACATTTTTTATTTTTATTTTTTGAAAGGTAAATTTCAATTTTATGTATAAGTATAGACGAATATATAGGTCCAAAAAGCCAGGTTAGCCCAAAGGTAACAACACAGTACAATCAGTGGCCCAAACGAGCCCATTTCCAAGGCCCAAGACAACCCAAACCAAGCATTCAAAACACATGACCGTTAGAAAACTTCATAACATTATGGTGACCATGGAGATTAGCGTCTCCTACTCTTCATCTTCATCCTCTGCTCCTATGATCAGGAGGCTTTGCCAGTGGGGGTATAATCGATTCACGTAGTTCACATCCATCAACAACTCTTATAACATTCATTGTATCAAAGATTGTTGACGTGAGTAGCTTCGATCTTATAGACTCCAATGTGAGATGTAGAATTGAGTTCGCTGAGAGGGATCTTTTATTAAAGATTCTACGATTGCACTAATTCCAGACATTGTAGACCATAGATGCTAGACCCATTTTGGAAACTGAATTACAGTCGAATTCGGAGTTGCCTTTCCAATGGTGGGAGGCCTAAGCAATTAGTTCAGACCAAGAAGATGGTAGCATATGGAACCCACAATGTGCTTGCAGAAATGACCATAAGGGCTTGACAAAGGAGCATTTGAAAAATAGATAATCATGGGATTCTAATTCACTATTGCAAAGGATACGCAATGTAACATTGATGTGGGCAGTACATCTTCTGTTCAATGTTGGAAGTCGATGTTGAATACCAACCCAAAGTGTGAAG